GTTCCCGGCTGTCTCCGGCTGCTCCCGGCTGCTCCCGCTCCCGGCTGCTCCCGCTCCCGGCCGTCCGGCTCCCGGCTCCCGCCGTGATTTCGGTCTGTCGTTTTGAGCTGTTCCCAGCTTCTCCCGGCTGCTCCCGGCTGCTCCCGATTGCTCCCGGCCGTCCGGCTCCCGGCTCCCGGCATGATTTCGGTCTGTCATTTTGGATTGTTCCCGGCTGTCTCCGGCTGCTCCCGGCTGCCCCCGCTCCCGGCTGCTCGCGCTCCTGGCCGGCTCCTGGCTCTCGTCGTGATTTCGGTCTGTCATTTTGAGCTGCTCCATGCTGCTCCCGGCTGCTCCCGACGCCCCCCCGGCCGCTCCCGGCGGCTCCTGGCTGCTCCCAGCTGCTCCCGGCTGCTTCCGGCTGCTCCTGGCTGCTCCCGCATGGCTCCCCGCTCCTCCCGGCTGTTCCCGGCTGCTCCCAACTGCTCCCGGCGGCTCCCGATTGCTCCCGGCTGCTCCCGGCTGCTTCCGGCTGCTCCCGGTGATTCCTGGCTGCTCCCTGTTGCTCCCGCGATTGCTCCCGGCTGCTCCCGGCGGCTCCCGTCTGCTCCCGACATCTCCCGGCGTCTCCCGGCTGCTCCCAGCAGCTCCCGATTGCTCCTGGCGCTCCCGGCGACTCCCGGTTGTTCCCGGCGGTTCCCGGCACTTCCCAGCAGCCGCTCCGCTGTTCCCGGCGGCTCCCGGGTGCTCGCGGCTGCTCCCGATTGCTCCCGGCGACCCCCAGCTGCTCCCGGCTGTTCCCGGCTGCTCTCGGCTGCTCCCGGGCGGCCAGCTGCTCCCGGCTGCTGCCGGCTGCTCCCGGCAACTCCCGTTTGCTCCCGGCTGCTCCCGGCGCCTCCCGACTGCTCCCGGCGTTTCCTGGCGTCTCCCGGCGTCTCCCGGCTGCTCCCGGCTGCTCCCGGCTGCTCCCGGCTGCTCCCGGCGGCTCCCGGCGACTCCCGGCCGCTCCCGGTTGCTCCCGACGGCTCCCGGCTGCTCCCGGCGTCTCCCGGCTGCTCCTGGTGGCTCCCGGCTCCTCCCGCCTACTCCCGACTGCTCCTGGCGGCTCCCTGCTGGATCCGGCTGCTCCTGGCTGCTCCCAGCTGCTCCCGATTGCTCCCGGCCGTGTGGCTCCCGGCTCCCGGCGTGATTTCGGTCTGTCATTTTGGGCTGTTCCCGGCTGTCTCCGGCTGTTCCCGGTTGCCCCTGCTCCCGGCTGCTCCCGCGCCTGGCCGTCCGGCTCCCGGCTCCCGCCGTGATTTCGGTCTGTCATTTTGGGGTGTTTCCGGCTGCTCCCGGCGGCTCCCGGCTGCTCCCGCCGGCTCCCTGCTGCTCCCGGCTGGTCCCGGCTGTTCCCGGCGGCTCCCGGCGGCTCCCGCTGGCTCCCGATTGCTCCCGGCCGTCCGGCTCCCGGCTCCCGGCGTGATTTCGGTTTGTCATCTTGGACTTCTCCTGGCTGTCTCCGGCTGCTCCCGGCTGCCCCCGCATCCGGCTGCTCCCGCTCCCGGCCGTATGGCTCCCGGCTCCCGCCGTGATTTCGGTGGCTAGAGCTCGCGCAAAGCAATTCCGCTACTTTTGAAAATGAATGTCTTAAAACTTTGACCGGTGCCTTCTGCAAGAGGAGCGGCAGCAGCTGGAGGCAGCGGCCAGGGAAGCATTCGAAGCCTGCGACACCTTTGTTGGCGTTTTCCCCAGGGCCCGGGAAGCGCGGGGAGCTGGAAGCCGCAGCGCGCTGGGAATGGCCAGGAACTGGGAATCGCCGGGGGCGGCCAGAAGTTCCGGGGCAGACGAGGCCGGGAGCAGCCGGCAGCAGCCTGGCGCCGCTCGCGACATGCCTATTCGGGCGCGCTTACCCAGGAAGCGCGGGAAACAGGGAGCGCTTGGAAAGCAGACGCGCAAAGAGTAGCCGAAGCCTCGCGGGGGGCAATGCATCATCGCGGGTCTTCCAACATATGGCAGCATTTGTTTGTTTAGCCATTTTGCTTTTGCTTGCCAAAATGAACACATCCGCAAATGACCCACAGAGCCCCAACCGACCTTCCTCGCGCGAGACGCACGGTTCTGCTCGTTAGTGGTAAAGCTCATCCGCTGAATGGCGACGCTCGAAGAATTCGAGTTGGTTTGCCCGGACTGCGTCGGGCCCGGACTATACGCAATCCAGGATGGACACCGCCGCGGAAACGAGGGTTTGATCTCCTGTGCGAGCCAGGGCGGCAGCAGTTGGCGGCAACAGCCAGGGAAACAGTCGAAGCCTGCGACACCTCTGTTGGTGTTTTCCCCAGGGATCGGGAAGTGCAGGAAACTGGGAGCCGCCACGCGCTCGGGACTGGGAGGCCAGAGGTTCCCGGGCAGACGGGAGTGGCAGGGAGCAGCCGGCAGCAGCCTGGCGCTGGGCGCCGCTCGCGACATGCTTAGTCGGGCGTGCTTACCCAGGAAGCGCGGGAAACAGGGAGCCGCTGGGAGAATTGCCGAAGCCTCGCGAGGGGGGGGGAAATACATCAGCCAACATATGCGCCCGCATTTGGTTTGGTTAGCCATTTTGCTTTAGCCATGCATACGACCCACAAATCCCCAACCGACCTTCCTCGCGCGAAACATCTGATGAGGAGCGTCGACGCACGGTTCTGCTCGTTAATGGTAAAGGTCATCCGCTGAATGGCGACGCTCGAAGAATTCGAATTGGTTTGCCCGGATTGCGATGGGCCCGGTCTGTATGCAATCCAGGATGGACACCGCTTGCGAACGGGTATGACAAGCAATCTGTCCCGCTTCGTGCGGCGACAACGGACTCCCGTTGCGCGGCTGAAGCCTGGCGAAGCAACCCGTGCGTGGAGGTCGCTGCTCCGTTCCCTCCGAGGGCTGACTCCAAAGGAGTGTCAGTTTGAAGCCGGCGCTGCGCGCGACGTGGCCCAAGGCATGCTCGGGGCTGCGCGAGGAAGCATCCTTACTGCTTCAGAAATCCATCGCCGCGCCTCTTCAGAAATCCATCGCCGCGCTCAACGCTTCCGCTCACCAGTAAGAGGCGAATCTGTGGCCTCCACCCGGCTCGAGAGCTCAGACAGCGGACACCGACCCAGGCCGTCACAGGAGCACCTGCCGCCCACGTTCCGGCGACTTTTGAACGAGATCGGCGCAGACGATTAAAGCCATGGCCTCCTTCTCCGAGTTTGTCCGCTTCTGCTCAACACGGACAGGCTGCGACATGGGCGGCCCCTACGCGATTCAACCGCGCGGGCTGCACGGCTCCCCTATAAAGATCGGTTATTCCTTCAACCTTTTGCGGCGCCTGTCTGACTGGGAATACAATTATCCAGAAGGTATTGACATCTTAACCGTAGCCCGGATGAACCGGCCGAGCGACACTCACTTCCACAAGTGCCGCGTGCTCCAGCTCGCGGAGGCTCTGTTGAAGCAGGAGCTACGGCAATACGTCGCGGCGAGGGAAGAATGGCTACAGCCGTGGGCCAAGGCCGCGACGCTGGCGGCCATGCGCCGCCTCCAGCTCTCCCTGAGCCCTAACCTCGCCGGGCATTTCTTCGACGCCGCACAGATCCAGGCGCCTTGGGAGCACGCGTTGGTCCCCTCCAGCACGCGAGGTCGGCGCTCGCAGCCGAACGCTGCTGCCACCACGCGGCGTCGGGAGCCGCCAGCACAGGTAGTCTGGCCCTGCCACCTTCGGCGCAAGGGCGTGGAGCCGAAGTGCGAGGCGGATGCTCTGTGCCACTGGGAGCGCGCGCCGCGTGGGCGCGGCAGATGCGTGGCGAGCACACCGACAAGTTGAGCCCGAGCAAGCGGACTGCACAAAACATGTACGATCAACAAATAAAGGGGCATCTGCGCAAGCCGCCGAAGAGCATGGACCCAGATGCAGAAGAATCATGCAATCCGAAAACATATTTTGGTTAAAAAATCCGGCCGTGCGTGTCGACGGCTCGCTGAAGCCCCAAGATGTATGCACTCGGCGTAGCGCTCCACGGAGCCTCTAAACATTACCCGCGCCCCAACGCCGAAGGCGAACCTCAATGCACGCGTGACCGCCTTGTAATCCTGTCAAAATGTTTTGGCGCCATGCCGCCATGCTCACTTCTTGCATTGTGTTCCTGACGCTTTGGCCCTCTGGACGACGGACGGACTCCTCGCTAGGGGGCGTCTACGCTTGACTGCGGCCCTGTAAGAAATCTTGCCTCCTCCTCCTGCATTAAGCCTTCGCCGAGTCGCGGTCGGCTCCGTGCAACTGGATGCTTGACCTTCCAGCAAAACGCAGAAAGGCACAGTCATCTCCGCTGGCAGACCCGAGTTTCCCAGAGGGGACGAGAGCTTGCAGGGGGAAAGGTTCGACAGAATTCTCCGAGGTGACGACCCCGATTATGGCCACGTGGCGGGCGCGCCACAGATGGGTACCTCGTCCGTCGAACACACGCGGCGCCTGGCGACCTTCCAGGGTGTACGCCAGGGCTGATGTTCAAGCTTCCACCCACACGTCAGGCCCCTTCGCCTCGAGGCCCTCCGGTATGGACGTCCGGTGACTTTAACAGGCGAGCCGTGTAGCACGCGCCCCGTGGGAGTCGCTTGAAGAGCTTACACGTGTCCAGGAAAATCTCCTCACCGCAGTCGAGCGTCACGACAAGCGCGACCCGACCGAAGCCCTCCTCCCCGCAGCGCTTCTTGAAGTCGACGAACAACTGCGCGGTTAACGCGTCTGCCACGCACTCGCTCTTGCTGCTCATAATCTGAAGCGTTGCCATTTAACTTGTCACAGACGCCTTGCTAGGCGGAGCGACTCGGGCAGCACGTTTGGGCACCGCGCGGCTCTTGGCAGCTCGGCGGGCTTTCGCTTTCGGCTTCGGCGCCTCTTCCTGCGACTGCTCATCACGCTCCTCTAGATGGCGTTTCTTGAGCAGCCGCACATGCGTGTCGCGGCTGCCTAAGAAGCTCTCCTTGATCGCACTGACGCTGTTCTCTTCTTTTTGGTACGGGTTCCTCTAGAGGCCGCCGGGCTGGTACTGCACGCGCTTCGTGTTCAGTCGCGCTGCCAGCCTGAACAATTCCTCGCCGGCTGCTTCGCCGGCATGGAGGCAGGTAGACGCTGCTGCCATCGACTCCTGCGCCGCCGCCATGTCTTCGATATTTTCGCAGTGCAGTCCGAGGTTGCGCTCTGTCTACGCGACGACAGAGTGATCTAGCGGACAGCTCTCGGGCGCGGTGCCATTTAACAGCTGGTTCGCCACAAAGCAAGGGGGCGCGCCAGCGACGGAAGTGTCCTTGCCCGAGCACTGAGTGGGCACATCTGTGTGATCGGGGCACAATTGCTTTCTTGCACGCAGTTGATGCCAGTCTAGATTCAGGAAGAGCTTCTTCGCCATCGCGTCGCAGCTCATAGCCTGCATTCGCACGATTGGCACTCCGCTCGCCCGCATGCTTGGGCCTGCGTCATCGGCCACCAGAATTATCCTCCCCTGTATCTTTTCGCAAATGCCAAATCCTTCATGAACTGCTCGGAAGCGTTGCAGATCACGTGGACGCAGCCCGTGAGCCAGCTGCTGACTACCGAGCCTACCCCACTCGATCTTGCCTTGCGCGAGATCGTGGTGAGTGATAGCCACACCTACTTGGCGCGCTGCCTCCGCGATTGCGTGGCGCTTTCCGCAGCCTGTGGGGCCCGTGAGAGCAAGGGCGCCAGGCTTACCGCTTCGAAGGAAGGCGAGGACCTTAGCGGCGGCCATGGTTCTTCACAAACACAACCGCGTCGCGACCGCTTTTCTCTCAGGCGCCCACGCTTCGCTCACTCGTTTTAACACACCCTCGCCAAAGGCATGTTACGGCAGGCTGGCATGTCCGAAGCTGCTCGTCTGAAGGAAATAAGCAATGGCGCCTGTCGGCAGGCCGCCGCTTGGATACGAGTGGAAGGATGGGTTTGATTGGATTCGCACGGCCACGGGCGAGCCTCTCAGCCAGGAAGCATACAGGGCTGAGCTGCGGAGGCGGCAGAGAGATCGAGAAGCGAAGGTACTGGGACGAACACACGGGCACACGAGCGCGAAGGAGGCAGAGAACGCTGAAGGAAGCCGAAGCCAGAGCCGCTGCTAGACCGGGCAAACCGAGGCAGCTGACGTTAGTCGAGGTCGGGCAGGTGCGGAAATCGGCAGGCCCCATAATCAGCGCTGACACCGTAACGCCTGGTTGCGAAACCGACGGCCCAGTGCTACATGGCCATGCACAAGGCACTGTCGCACAAGTTAGTGCCACCTGCCACGGCTTCAACACTAACAAGAAATAGGTCAGAATAGGGTGCCCGAACGTTGCGGTTCCGCGGCTTGAAAGAGCACGGCGTAGATCATTGTTTCTAGAAAGTGCGCCATGCACGAGTTGGTAGCTTTCCGTGCTCTTCATGTCCACTTCGTCAACTGGGAGCGCGCAAAGCATCGCGCCGATTTCTTCGCAAAGATCGGCTTCCCTGACAACCATCCTCTGCGACATACGATTGAACAGGTGAAAACCGATGCGACGCAGACACGCGGCACGAGTACATGGCCAAGCTCGACCGCGTGAAAAACGATGACGAGGTTGCGTACGCGTTCTTCAAATTTTGCATGTTGCTCGATCTGTCGAGCTTCCGTGTCGATGCGCCACCTCAAACGGCGCTTTTCGAGGAGCAGCGCGCAGCGCAGCCACAACGAATGCGCGCTTAAGCGCTTTTTGCTGGATGTGCGCTCTGGTGCATATCCCCTCTACAGACAACCAGGTGACACTTGGTCTGGGCGCTTGGAGGGCCATTGCTTCTTCATGGCCTCGGAGCTGTTTCGGCGTCTTAAAATATACATGGCAGAGACGGGGGCGCAGACGACAGTGGACTCCGTCATGGCCCTCGGGCACGCCATGAGCAAAAACTATGCAACGTTGGCGCCGAGGGTGGAGGGTCGTGTTGCCAGGTACAAACTGCAAGTCGCAGCTGGCGGAGACGAGTGAGAACTAGGCAGGCGCTCGCACAGGTCCGTCATACCCCATCTTGTCAGCCTCCGAGGGGACAGAGGCACACAGAGTGAGCTGTTGGGGCTTCGGCTTGCGTTTCTTGGTATACCTCGCAAGCCGGCGCTCGCGACCACCATTAGCCCAGTATTTTCGGTGCATGCAAGCTTGCTTCCTGGCGCGGATCCCGGCAACGTGCATTTGCGAGTCGAACGGATCCCCCGTCTCCATGTGTCGCCACTCCCCAAGGACGTAGCGGTAACCGAAAGGGGGGCGACCACGCGGAGCTGGTGGTTGGTTCGCACCACCCTTACATCCGCCAAGGTCCACGTACCGCCGCCCCTTTGTCTTCACGCAGACTCTGTGAGACTGCCGCGCGAACGCGCGCGCCGGGGGCACAACGCGTCAAGTGGCTGTAGGCTGGGCCATCTCGTGTGGGTGGAAGACAAACTGAGACACCACGCGCGCTGCGCTCCCTGGCACGAAGCGGCAGAGGCAGAGCAAGACGTCGCGCTTGTCCTGCGCGCAGAGCGGCCGCGCCTCGAGGATCTCCTGCGCTTCGGCGAGCTTTTGCAAGAACTTCCGCTCCCGCGCATCCAGCTTCCCATCCGCTAGCAAGAGGGGTCCCATCCTCACCGTTAGCTCCTTCTTGTTCCAATCCTTCTTGAAGAAGGGCAGCTGCCGCACAGCCGCCATGAAGGACTTTGCGTATACCCCCAGGTCGCGCAGGAAGGCCCGATCTAAGAGCGAGCTGCGCGCACAGGTCGCAGCAGCAAACCGTCTTCGCTTGGGAGGCGAGGGATGTTTATACAGCTTCTCGGACCACGCGTCCGTGCGCGACTCGACTCTCCAGGCTTCTCCATAGAATGCATCCAGTGCCGGAGGCGCGCTGCAAAAGCAGCTTCCAATGCTCGAGCCCAAGGCACGCAAACGCATCCCCTCCACGAGCGCACGCAAACGAGTAGGCGCACTCGTCGGCACAGCTCTGGAATTCCCCCACGCCACCCAGGCCCTCCACTGCCTTGGTGAAGGCGTCAGTCTTATTGGCGCCAGTCCAGCTCGCTCCGTGCAGTGAGGTAGCCTCGTAAGGCCGTCTGCGCCAGCCAGAAATGCTGCGCCTCCTCGCTGAGCGTGGAGAGCAGCTCTTCGAGATGCTCCTCCTGACGCGCGTTGGTCCCCGAGGGCCGCGCGTGTTGCGCATGCGAGGCTGCGCCCGTAGAACACATCGCCCGCGCTGTTGAACCCTGGGATCGACCGATCGGGTTGGCTCTGTGCATATAAGAAGGCGCACGCATCCGCACACATGCGGAAGCTGCAGATACCAGCAGCCGTGAGTTCATCCACGGCCTGGAGTCGCCTGTCGCTCTTGTTCAAGCGACGGAAGCGCCAACGTAACCCGGTTGCGGTCGCGAGGCACGGCACGACCGCCGCGCGCGCTGTGTGAAATCGCAGAAGGTCGCTGGCACTGCCTACCAGGTGGCTGATAGGCATCTGTGACATCTGCACACCGCCCGCCATGATCTGCGTCCCCAGGCGCGGGCGGGGTGACTTTCTTGCAGGCTTGGCCCGCGCCACCCCGTCACGACCGCGATGCCTGACTTCGACGCGAACTGTCCAGGTGCATCAAGGTGCAGGCGCCGGAGCCTGTCGCCACTCGCAAATGCGCGCGGTGAGGTCTGGTAGCGTAGCCGCGTAGATGCGTTTGAAGCCGCGCTTGGTGCATTCTTGCGCCGCCTGCGTGCTCCGTACTTCGGCGCGCCGTGCGTGCTGCTCGCCGTCGGCCCTGCTGCGCGTGAGCGTGATCGTTTCGCGCTCTTCCCGTTGCTCCTCCTGCAGCCCTTCCGGCGCTCCGCCCTGCGCATTGTCCGCGTGGCCCTGCGTCTGTCTCGGCAGGCCCGCTGCACGGCTCTGGTCGAGGCTCTTGCGGGGGCATCGCGCGCCTTACTGCGTCGGGCGGCCCTTCGAGAGCTAGTTGACACCAGCGGCCGCCCCGTACTCGCTCCCATCCATGCTGGCACATGAGCGATATCGTGACGACGTCTTCGAGCCTCGTGTCGCCTGCGACGCACGCCAGCACTTGCAGCGGTTTGTGCTGCATCGTCCACTTGCTGCCCGCCCCGGAGAAGTGCTGGGCAATGCGGTTCTCGACTGCGCTGCTCCATCCGACGTAAAAGCGTCCACTCTCGAGTAGCAACGTATAGACGTGGCCCGGGATGCCGGTGTAGTCGACGGTGTAAGTGGCCATGGCTTCCAGGGGCACGGTGTTTCCTGAGGCCACCGCCGCTTCCGCGGGGAATGCTGACGCCGAGGCGGTCGTCGCCCCTTGCGCGCTGCCAGATTCGCGCCGTACTCCGCGGGACGAACTTGACCCTCACTCGTGGGTCTTCGCCCCCTTGAACATTCCTCGGCCCGAGAGATGTGTGTGCCGACAGATCTCCGGGGGAGCAGATCTGCAACAAGTGCATGGCACCTGCTGTCGCTGTGCGTCGACGTCATGCCGTGAGAACTCGAAATCGTGTGTCCAGTAAACAATCGAGCATGCGCACGTCGAAGGCGCTCCGGTGTACGGGAGCGGTGAGTCGTTTTTTTGTGGCCGGGAAGGGTGTTACGTGCGACGTAACACCCTTACGTGCGACGTAACACCCTTACGTTCGACGTAACACTCTTTGTAACACCCTTGTTGTCGGGAAGGACGTTACGTTCGACGTAACACCATTACGTTCGACGTAACACATCTGTTGTTGGGAAGACCGAGGCGCCTGGAGTTGCTGGGCATCGACAACATGTCGTGCCACTTCGACATCATGTCCCAGTAAAGAGTCGAACATGCAGACTTCCAAGGCGTTCCGCTGCACGCTCCCCATGCTGCGCGAAGACCAGGTGGCCAACCTGCGTCGCTGGGCCGATCTTCATTGCGCACAGTCGATCGTTTTCCGTGACGACCGTGGCAGCGCCGTGTTCGTGGGCCTCAAGGCCGAGCTTCGCACTTGCGCCAGCTTCTCGCGCACCGTTCGTACTGCTCTGCGCCGCCTCTGCATCGACGTGCCGCTGCGGGGGCGCTGGTGCACCCTCATCACGCCCCGCGAGGCTCTGAGCATCTGTGCGAGTGAATCCGCCTCTCGCGGTGCCGACGTTGGCGCGCAACCTGCAGAGCGCCTTGCCTCGCCGCATGATGACGACAACGTCCGCGTAGTCGCGCTCACCGGTTGAACATGCCCCCGCTCACGGCTTCTTGAAGACCAAGCCTTTGATATCCATTTTTAGCTTAGAGTTGCCGTCGAGGTACAGACCGGTTTCTCGACCGTACAGAAGGGAGATTTGCAATGCGCCGCTCACTGCGCACGGCTGACTCTCCTTGAATTCGTCGAGGAGTTGTTCGAACGACAGGTGCCTGCGCCGTCGCAAGAACATCCTAACGCCTTCTGTGAGGGCCTCCATGATTGCTTTGTGATACTCTGTCCATCGTTCTGACTTGACGAGAACTATGTCGACTGCGCCTGGGAATTGCTCAAGAAATCCCGTTACCTCGCACGCCATTTGGCAAACACCCGCAGAAATCGGTATCGCTCCGTGCCGTTGCTGAAGTCGTCGGCATGTGCATAGTCGTACATGCATTGCAGACGGCCTCGCAACGGCGTGCTGTGCCTGGCCGTGTCTTGGCCACAAGTCCGTCAGCGTGGGGGATCTGCGTGCCGCCCTCCTGGGCAATTGCCGCACCGAGGAGCGCGGCCTGCCGCAAGCAATGCCCACACGCTGCAAGACGCGGAATTGATCCTAAGTCAAACACAAGCCGCCGAGAGAGCAAGCATTATTGGATTCGTACAAGAATTGCTAGGTGGTGAGCCGCAGGGAGAGGCAGAACGAACAGCGGCCCACGCAATGCTTCCCGAGCCAATGCGTCAAGCTACCATTGCAGAGCCGCTCGTGCTGCGCGTGACACGCTTCGGCGCACTCTTCCGGTACCCCGATGAACAGAACTGGGAAGGCCGACCTGTTAGTGTGGAGTGCGGATACAATCTCGACGGGGCATGTCACAATGCATCCTGGCGGCAGCCGCTGGCAGCGGTACCAATTCAAGACAGCCCAGCAGCTGCAAGGACAGACAAGCTTCAAGTTGCAGCTCACGAGCTGGTCAGCTTCGAGAGATAATAACAAGGGGCCGGTATACGCCAACAGCTACAGGGCAGGTGATGCGGACTACTATATTGCTGTATTGCCAGCGATCATCGCGGCTGGCGCGTGACGTGTGGAGTTCCACGCATCGTGCATACCAGAGCGCGAGCTGCTAGAACGGAGGATTATAGCCCAGGGGAAGAGGCGAATCGTCGCGGACTCTACGTGTACATGTCTGAACTGGCTGCCCATGCGCTCGACCTTGATGCTGGGGCTCCTGCATATGTGGACACGCGCGTATCACGTTCACAGCCCAGCTGGCCCAACATTGATGTCGCCCGTTACAGTACAGCGCCGTCGACGGGTCCAGCAGGCAGACTGAGCGGACAGCTTGCAAATATGCGTGGGCAGCAAATAGTGCAAACTCACAAATGGCACGAATAACATCGCCCAAGGACGCGCAGTGCCCCCACTGCAAGCGGTACTTCACCAAGCGCGGCCTGAAAGAGCATATGCGCCATGTCCGATGTTCTCCGACGTCCACCGCACAGAAGCGGGTCTTCGAGCGGGCCCGCTGCAAGTATTGTGGCAAATCTTTCCACTCTGGGAACTCCTTGCGTGTGCATGTGGCTGGGCAGCATCTTGCTGAGTACGCGAAGTCGCCTCATAGCGTGAGTCGGCACAAGGCAGCGCTCAAACGAAAGAGCGCGCTCAAGTTGGAGCAACGTCCGCACAGCGCAAGCCCACATGCGAAGCCTAAGCGCGATTCTCCACAGCCACAAGAGACCGAGCATTCGACTACCGACTTGCGTGCACGCGAAGATCCAGAGCGCACACGACGTGTCTGGGAGGAGGTACTTCGACGGCAACAACTGCAGAGAGACAAAACGGGCAGAAAACATCATGCACGCAATCAGGATAGATGATGCCGCTACAGGATACATAGTGCGCAAAAGTGTATTAATACACGTCGGCCCGGCGAATGCCGCTACGGCAGGCATCGCGAGGTCTGTGAATATCCCGCGGGGGTCGCGCACGGCATCATCTGCGCGGCAGGTTGAACTGACAGGTCGCGTCGGCACATTGACGCTCTGGCCTTTTTCTACAGAGGCAGCAGCGGTGCTTTCCGCCGCGGATATTCTCCACACCAGCGGGTGAAATTAAATCACCGCATGCGCCCCGCATGAGAAACTCTGCCGCCCTCTACGGGCCGCAGCTGGGTTTCTCTCCGCACGAGCTTACTGCAGGCGAATTTTCTCCGAGGCCATGTGTTCTGCTGACATTTTCCCCACAGGGCGATGCGCAGTTCTTCGCCTCATCCGAGGGCCGTCGAGGCAGAATTTCTAACGAGCTGGTGACAATTTCGCAGCTCACAAGCGGCTGTTGCAATTTGCCAGCTTTGCTGCACCGCATCCAGATTTTCTGCGCGCGTTGGTGCGCTGCTGAGTTTTTCCCCGAGGGCGAGGTCCTGTGCTTCATGACACACGCGCGCAATGGAGTTATTCTCAGGGGCCTCCGCTGGATGTATGAATAATTTTGAATTTCGCCCGAGGGCATTCGCGGTTTTTTCTCTCGGTGAGCCCGCAGCCTCCCGACAATCTCCCTGCTGGCGGGTGTTTGGTCTTCGGTACGGACCAAGTCTGCAGCTTTTTAAAGCTACCGAGGGATGGTCGCAAGTCCAACGGCGCACAACATGCATCCTACTGCCGTAGCGGCATTCGCCGGGCCGAGTGTATTCGGTCAACCAAGGTTGACTGTCAATTTGCAGCGCATCTGCAGCTACAGTAGAGACAGAGGTGTCCGGGGACCCATTTCTGCGGCGTGTGCTTCTTGCCGCTTCGCTGCGCCGCATGGTCACTGAGCGCGGGGAGAATATTCGACGATGTCAAAAAACACCCGGCGGGGAATTGCTCGGCGGCGCCATTCCCAAAAGCGCCCCCGAGATTTTCACAAGGCAGGCAGAGACCTGAAAATACGCCACTCCTTGTAAGGTTTTTTGGGGACTTCAATAAGGTCTTACCAGGCATCCAGGTGAACTTTTTTGGTGCGTTCGCGGCCATTTCTGCCGCGCGCCGAGGTACCTCCCAAAAAATCATACGGCACTGGCGCTCTTCTGTGAATTTCTCTAGGATCCGACCGAGCATCCTGGTGGAATTTTGCCCCGTTGCCACCGGATCTGCACAACATGCTCAACAAAACCCAAAGCGCGCACAGCATTGGCGTTCTTCTGAGAATATCAGCGCTCAGAAGGCGTCCGTTTTGTTTTCGCGCAAATTTAACACAAACCGAATGAAGAAAGCACGGATAACGCCGCAAATTCTCAGGACCGTGCTCACCATTGGAGAGCCGCTGCAGACGCACTGCAAATGGACAGTCAACCAAATACACTCGGCCCGGCGAATTCTACTACGGCAGGCATCGCGAGGTCTGCGAAAATCCCGCCAAGGTCGCGCACGGCATCGTCTGCGCGGCAGGTTGACTTGAAAATTTGCGTCGGTGCAATTAACGCTCTGGGTTTTTTTCTGCAGAGGCAGCAATGGTGCTTGCCGCCGCGGATATTCTCCACACCAGCGGGTGAAATTAAATCACCGCCTGTGCCCCGCATGAGAAACTCTGCCGCCCTCCACTGGCCACAATTGGGTTTCTCTCCGCACGAGCTTACTGCATTCGAATTTTCTCCGAGGCCATGTGTTCTGCTGACATTTTCCCCGGCGATGCGCATTTTTTTCGCGTCATCCGAGGGTAGTCGCGGCAGAATTTCTATCGACCGGGTGACATTTTCGCAGCCCATAAGCAGCTGTTGCAAATTGTCAGCCATGCGGTACCGCAGCCATCTTTTCTGCACGCGTTGCCGCGCCGCTGATTCTTTCCCCGATGGCGAGGTCCTGTCCTTCATGGCACACGCGCGCAATGGAGTTATTCTCAGGGGCCTTTGCTGGATGTATGAATAATTTTGCGCCTCGCCCGAGGGCATTCGCGGGTTTTTCTCGCCGAGCCAGCAGCTTCACGATATTCTCCCTGCTGGCGGGTGTTTGCAGTTCGTCGCGGACCGCGTCTGCTGCTTTTTTCTGGCTGCGAAGGGATGGTCGCAAGTCCAACGGCGCACAACATGCATCCTACTGCCGTAGCGGCATTCGCTGGGCCGAGTGTAGTATAGCATCTATTATCGATCCTGCGCGGGAGCATGTCTCCTGCGCCGCGCGCATGATCTATCCTGACCACTGGCGACGCGAATCTGCAGTCACGTCAATCTTTCACGACTTGTAAACGGCTGGGCGCACGGGCTCGGCCCAGCGAGTTGCCGAGGGTAATAACCTTGACGTCCGACTCCGCTGGCTCACCCGCGTCAAGGGCAAGCATCGGAGCGACGGGCGGCGGCGGCAGCTGCGGGAGCGCCACGCTACCTTCGTCTGCGAGGACTAGCCAACGACCCTTCAGCCGAGACACGTCGAAGCCGCTCCGCTGGCAAGCCGCTTGAGCGTGGAGCGAACGGAGCGGAGGAACGCCATGACAACGTCGTCCTCGCGGGCAAAGCACGACGCGGCGCAGTTCTGGCAGGCCCACGCGCGCAAACGACTCAGCTCGGCATCGTCGAGCCACGGCAGCGTGGCGTGGAATGCCTTCGAAGTGTGCATTCGTCCTCCGTTTCTGTTCGTTCGAATCTCGTGTGAACCTACTCGGGCACGCGCAGTCCGTGCTTCTCCCGCAACTTGCGAGCCAGCGCGGCTGTGCCAGCGCCCCAGCCTTTCTGGAAACACATCGGAAGAGTAGCGCGCTGCATCCCGTGCGGGGGCTCCGAGTTCTTGAACCGGAGCTGGGGGTCGATGAGCTTCTCGTAAGGGCCGCTATGCATTCGCACGAAAGCTTCGACGTTCTCAACCGGCTGGTGCAGCGCGGCCCCAAAGCCACGCTGGATGCACTCGCTGGGTCGCCCCACGCGCTCCGAACCATCTAATAGCCCGCTAGCCTTTTTGTTGTTGCCGCAGTACGGTTTTGCTTTGCGCGGTCGGGCTTCCCCGTGTTGCAAGCTACTCCCACGAGGGGCGACGCGCTCAAGCGCTCCACTCTGTGGCACTGCTCGAGGCTCACGCGCTCGCCGTCGCGGCTTCGACTGTTGTGAGGAGGAGATGACGGGCTGTACAGCAGCCCGGTGTTCTGACTCCCAGCACCAAAGGCGCGCGCGGTAGGCGCATTTGTACTCCCTCTGGTCGGTGCCGTCCCAGCAGGCAGCTCTGTTGCAGAGCGTACAGCGCTCGCGGCCTGTTTCGCTGGGTGCTGACCGAGCGCGTCAGACCAACTCACGCTCATATCCGTTTATTATCAGCGAGAGGTGCGCCAGACATGGGATGCATTTCGCGAGGCGATGCGCTAGTGGGCGGGCTGTGCAAACGGGGCAGGTTCGCGCTGAGCAACTGCCGATTCTCGCAGCATCAGCAACTGCCGGTACATTTCTCGCGACCGCGCGTCGAAGCCTGGCGCCAGTGCTTGCAGAACAACACCCCCTTCTACACAGGGCCACAGAGGAGCTGTCGCTCGCTCCTCCATCTGCGGCGGGTCCACGCGTACGCGGGGTGTGCACGGCGCCATGGTTTCGTCGCACGCGGTACTCGCTGCGGCCTTGTAATCCTCCTCGGTGCACAGCTCGAGCCAACCCTTGCCTAAGTCACCCATGTGAAGGCCCCACCGCCCGGTGAGAGTGCGGATTAGACTTTGCATAGCGCGCACTGTCTTGGCGTCTTTCCGGTGCAGGTACAACGCGTTTCTGCCATCAACGTCTCTCACTACGCAGTGCGCCTGGCAGCTGCTGCTGGCCCACTGGACCAGCCGTGACTCTAAGTCTGGCGCCGCTGCGCCTACTCCTGCAATGAAGAAGTGGGAGGTGGGCTCCGTCATCCGTCGACCGTTTTAACAGTAGCGTTGAACACATCAACCGCGCTTCGACCTTCCGCTAGCGCGCGGCCGCCTCCCTGGATGTTTTCATCTGATGGCAGGATCGATGGACAGGCTGAAGATTCGAGATGTCGTTGAGTCTCGCGACATCGGCGGCGGTTCGCGCAGAACTCAAAGGAACGATGTGGTCGACCTCCCACATATCAGTCGCTGTGAAAGGCAGGCCGCAGATGGCGCACATAAAATTGTAGCGCGCCGCCACGCGCTTCTGCATGAGTGGCGTCACCCTTTTGCGGATGCCTGATGTCCTCAGGGGAAGCGTGGGTCTCGGCGCCGTCCGGAGGCTGCGAAGCTGCACGGACGCAGAGACGCCGCCTCTAAACGAGCCCTCGGCGCGCCCAGCGATGCCAGGCGCGTCTTCCTGTTCAACACCCGCACGGCTCAGCACGCCAACGGAAGAGTCGAAGGCTTGCAGCGCCGACTTGTGCAGACCCGAGTCAGGTGCTACGAAGGAGCAACAGAAGGCGATGGCAAGGAGGATTACCAGCCACCACAGCATTTACTTCTTCGAGCGACGTGGACGACTCTTTCTCGCGTGGCCCGGCGTAAGACTCCGCCTTGCCGCGCGTCGTTCCTCGCCATGGAACCACGCGTTCAGCCCTACTTTGGCGTCAGGGCAGGTTACTTCTTCTCCACTGTGTTCAGTGCGCGTGTCTCGCCTGCCCATATCATCATAATTCGTTCACATGACTGCTCTTCCAGCGCGCGGGTACACGCGCAGGCCCTTCCCATCGCTTCCGCACAGCTTGTGGAAGCAAGTGGCCCCGCCACACCTCCCCGCGGACAGCTCTCCGTCTGCTTGTAAGTATGCGAAGATGGTCTTCAGTCGGCGCTTGTAATCTCTGCCACCACCGTCTCTGGGGACGTCGCGGTGCGTTTTGTAGCGCTCCCCGCAGGCATAGCTCGTTGCTTGCAGCGGCTCGAGGCTCGTCGCCGGCATCCCAGCAATCGTCGCGAGTCTTCTTTCGATGCACTGAACGACTGGATCGTCCTCCGGGAGGTCCGCGGTCCGCGACGTGCGCAGCGAGCGGACTTCGCGGCGCCCCTCAGTTTCGGAGGCCTCGAAGCCCGCGCCGTGTGCAGTCTTCACAAGGTACGCGCATTCGGCAGGGGTCAGCAGGCCGTCAATTTGCGTTACGATTGGTTGCTTTGATGTAAGCTGCCTGAGAACAGGGTACACGGGCCGGCCGCCCTGCACACATGATTGCATTTCTCCTGCAGCGCGCACTACACCTTTTTGCATATCCGCAGCCATTTCGACCTCATATTACGCAAGCGATTCACGCGTGGTAGCCAGCAGCCATGGCAAGCCGAGCCTTTGCGCGCGGGCACCTCATGGATCTACTTGCAGAGTTGTTGCCAGCGGTTGAACTCGCGCGCATCTGTTCAGTGAGCACTCGTTTCTACAGGCACGCCGCAACGCTGGCGTTTGCATCTGTTCGAGCGCAGCACGGCCTCATGATTCCAGACGCCTCGCTGGCAGAGATGCACGATCTTGACTCGGTACAAGAAGCGCAGAGCTTCGACATGCGCAAGCAAGGAACCAGAAGAGTGCTGCGCGGCAGCCCGCTGTGCACGACCTACGTTGGATCCTACAGGGATAAGGTCACGCTGGCCCAGATCCCTCCAGCTCCGGGTGACGCGTGGTCGATCGACTGCTCTCTTCGGCGCGGCGCCTACCTTATGACTCCCGAGGGGTGGGGCAACCCGGCACACGGTATCTTGGACCTCTTCCTGGACGGATGGCGCATCGGCTCCGTCGACTGGTTCGACGACTACACGCGTGAACGCAGTCGCTCCATCGACTTCGACGTGCGGTGGACGGGTGTGCACCAACTGGTGGGGAGGTGCAGCCAAAGCAACGCCGACGAAGACCGGCCGACGCGACACTGGATCTGTCTGAGCGGCGTGCACCTTCGTGGGATTGCGGGCACATAGCGACTATATTCTTGGATTTGACGCGCCAGTAAGAAGCAACCCAGGGACCCCAGGGAAGTAAGCACATGTACACACACGCGTCCGTTTCATGTGAGTGGTAGGACGCTCAAGTCGCTGCGGCAGCTGGCGCTTGCCGAGTACGACAGCTCTTTCGGCGGGCGCTGTGAGGCGTGCGCTGCGGTGCATTCGGACCTGGAGGCGCACAACGAACTTGGCGTGCCCCAGCACTACTCCGCGGGACGTGCGCGGCATGACGGTTTCCTACCGTGGCTCATCGGCCTTCTCCCGCACGCGCACCCCATTCGATGGTACCAGGAGGTTTGTGTTTCCTACTCACGTGAATAAAAGATGTCTTCTAACATCTGATCTGTCTTATTCTGGCGGAGACGCGCTTTCCTTCTGTCTGCGTGGTAGATCTTTCCCTCCTTGAAAGCCTCGAGCATGTCTCTCGCCCATCCATCTTCGGCGCCCCCTGTGTCAAAGCAACGTGCAGAAGGGGGTGAAGTAGCGAGCAAGGTAATTCGGGCAGCTACGTCGCCAGGCAACCGACGGAACAGATACGCCATGTAAGTTACTACCACTATCTGTGGGAGCGGGCCTCGAGCGCCTGAACAAACGTGTTTTGAAACTATGTCCCCCCTCAGGGGTGTGACAGTAGTGGTGGGTACGTGGGTACGTGGGTACAGAGGTTTTGAAACTATTTCCCCAGGGGATGTGACAATAGCGGTGGGTACGTGGGTACGCGGGTACAGAGGTTTTGCCATTATTTCCCCAGGGGATGTGACAGTAGTGGTGGGTACGTGGGTACGTGGGTACCGAGGTTTTGAAAATATTCCCCCCCAGGGGATGTGACAGTAGTGGTGGGTACGTGGGTACGTGGGTACAAAGGTTTTGAAACTATTTCCCCCCAGGGGATGTGGCAATAGCGGTGGGTACGTGGGTACGTGGGTACAGATGTCTTGAAACTTATTCCCCCAGGGGTGACAATAGTGGTGGATACGTGGGTGCAGCGGTTTCGAAACTAGCAGACATATCACACATACATACACGCGGCCAGGGCAGCATGCGCGCTCAGCCTGCGCCAATCAGATACGCTCTCCCTACCTTTATTTCCACGACACGCGACGAATCGGGCGTTTCTGTAAGGAGCGTCTAGCTAGGGCACGTCTCACGAGCGCTTCGGGCTGCGACTGCGGCACGGCTCTGCTGCAGCGCCCAGGTTGGCGAAGTGGCCGACATACTTCTGAAAATCGTGGCACCTCGGCTGCTGGAAAGAGGCGCCGGGGTACTTCGCGCGGATGTGGGCCATGAAATCCTCCTCGTCGAAGGCGAAGCCGTGCTGCTGGCGGTCAACCACCCACCGCTGGACCGTCATGGAGTAATTCGGATAGTCAGCGTGTTTCGCGCAGTAGCTGGAGCCCTCCGCGCGGCGGCTCCTGCAGCGATCATTTGGATCATCGTCGACCATGGAGTGGCACCGCTCATGCTCAGCGGCGTGGTGGGGGCAACGAGTCCTGGGGCGACCGCAGGCGTCGCCGCCTCCCCTCGGCACCACCCCGCAGCGGCCGCGGTCAGCGATGCAAGACGCGTCGTCCTCCGCTCGCATGGCGCACAATTCACGTTTCTGGTGCCAACTGGCCGTGCGGATGCTGCACTGGCCCCGGGGCTGCTGACATGGGCCTCCCATTGCCTCCGGTACTCCGCAGACTCCGCGCTCCATGATAGCAGCGCGCTCGTCCTCCCAAGCCATGCGGGCGAGCTCGCTGCGTTGGTGGGTCCGACAACTGCCGGCGTTGCTGTTGCAGAGCTTGCCGTCGTTGCACGGGTGGCCACAGAGACCCTCGATTGTCAGGGGCGCCCAGTGCTTGAATGCACCCTTGGCATCGAAGACCTCCACCGCATCGAAATGACGGAGCTTTGGGTCGATGGCGCTTGCCTTGGACTCGTCTGTGTTCCCCCCCCGCTGTGCATGCTCTGCTTTTACAGCTTCTGTCTGCGGGAGCGTCCCAGGGAGTGTTTTCTTCCCAATCTGTGGCTGCACCTCGCGGCCATTTTCTGCGGCTAGACTTTCGGAGAGGAGGTGCTGCAAAGATGCCTCTGACAGAGTGGTGGATTCCGGCGAAGAGCCGCCGCTGGCCTCTGTGGAAGCTTCGGCGAGTGCTGGTTCCGCAAAGGCCTTGTCGTCTTTGCCGGTGTCCATAAAGCTCGTTTCGAAATAGAATTGACCAAGGACTGCTCGTGCCCGGTCGCATGGAGGACTTGCGCTCGATTGCTGGGGGTCTTGCTCTGCGACGGCTCGCGGCTCTCCGAAAAACTGAGTGAGGCTCCGGTTAGGCTGGGGCGCGTCGCTCGATACTGCCTGTGCGCTCCCCCGTTTGGCTCGCTTGGTGGGTGGCTGCTGCGAACCACTCGCGAGGATTTCCTGGAGACGATCGCGCGGCACAGTCTGGACTAAGAGAGCGGCTTTGTCAGCCATCTTTAAACCGGCTGGGTGGTCGACGCAGAACTCCTTCAAGATGGTGTTCATGCGGCCGACTTTGCACATCTTTTGCAGGCGCGCCATGAGTTCCAGGTCGCCCACTTGACTTTTCGGTGGCGCCTTCTCATGATAGTCCAGGACCTTGTCCAATTTCTTGTCTATGTCATCCATGCGGGCGTGGATGCCCTCTTCGACCTCCGACAACTGCACGCGTGTTTCGTTTCCGTCCTCGGCGACCGCGTGAGCAACTGTAGCTTCGAGGGCGAGCTGTTCTGCTGCCACTGTGGCTCTGGGCTTGTTCCAAAATTTGACTTTGCTGCCAGTGCCGTCTTCGTACCGCGCGGCCTCAAAGGCGAGTACCTCGGCCTCTGTGGCGAATTCGCGCAGTTGCCCGGTCTCCGTGTAGTCGCATTCACGGAAAGCGGAAGCGCGCACGAACCTTGTCTGCAGCGTTGCGCCCGTACTTCTGAAGGGTGCGGCGCTGCCGAAACTGCTCCGCTGTGAGCACCATGGCGGGAGGGGGGGGGGGGGGAGTAGATATCGAATGCAAAAGGGGCGTCTGCTTTGAGATACACGTGCGTAAGAAACCTGACATGAGGAACATGTACTACACCGAAACCTACATCGCAACTTATATCGCAACTCACATCGCCAACCTACATCGACACCACATCGCAGCTTACATCGCTATTTACATCGCAACTTACATCGCAACCTACATCGCAACCTACATCACAACTACATCGCAACCACATCGCAACCACATCGCAACCTCATCGCAACCACATCGCAACCACATCATCGCAACCTGACATCGCGACCACATCGCAACCACATCGCAACCTCATCCCAACCACATCGCAACCTCATCGCAACCACATTGCAACCACATCATCGCAACCTGACATCGCAACCACATCGCAACCACATCGCAACCACATCGCAACCACATCGCAACCTACATCGCAACCTACATCGCAACCACATCGCGACCGAAAGCTTCTACATCCAAACTCAAATCTGAAAAACTGAACATATAGGATTCTGCTTGCTTGCGAAACTGCGCACTTCCTTGCAAATTCGCGTGTGGTTTGTGTGTGCGTATGAACTTGTGCAAATGCTGTTACAAAGCTGCAATTCTTTTTCCAGCTTCAGAGTTAGCGCCACTCCATCTAAATCTGGTTGCGGCAATCCATCTAAGTCTGGTTGCAGAAAACTAGCGTCAGCAGCTCTCTCACTCTCACTAGTCTATGGGTGTGGCATTCTCTTTCTGAGCGCGCCAACTTTCCAATCCAATGTGCGTGCAGAAACGGACCTTGTGCTCACCTTGTGCTCAATCCGAAAGAAAAATGCTACGAAATAAGGGTCCGTGCGCCTCTCTCTCCATGCGCGGCAGCAGAATGTCACGCAGGCTGTTCACGCTCCTCCCGAAGACTTTGGGATATTTGCAGCGGGCGCAGCGGCTCATCGGCATGGAGGGTTCACCAGGCCATGCCATGTTGGACGTTTCCCAAATCGTCTCTTCGTCCAAGCATTCCTCGCTGAGGCAGCCCTCGTAGGGAGTGCTGATGTCGCCGCCGAGAGCTTGCCTGATGAGCGCCTGGTCTTGAGCGCCAAGTTCCTTCAAATCGGTTTCCTTGCTGGGGTTCAGAACTCGAAGAGCAGCGGCGCACCTCTTCAGAAACTCGCTCTTACGCCCGTGATCGCCTGGCCCTGGCACGGAGCCGTCCTTGGCCAGCCGCATCGCCACGCGCACCACTTGCGACATTCCAGGTCTCGCGTACTCCTCCTGGACTTTGCTCTGCAGCAAGAGCTGCCGCCTCGGCTCGTGGTGGCAGCGACGGAAAGCGAGCCGCTCCGGACGCTCACCCACCTCCGCGACGATGATGACGCCCTCGCACTTGACCCGGTATTCCCAGACGCTGGTTGGGTCGAAAGCGTTTGGGGCTGGTGGCTGCTCTGACCCATTGGTCAGCATTAGCGGCGGCGCCATGACCTCTTCCTCCTCGCTGCTTGAACCGTCGTAGTATTCCGCCAGCAAGGCGGCCGCTGGCTTGGCATTGCTCTCCGCAATCTTGGCTCGCTTGGCAAGGGATTGGTGCTCTTCCTCTTTATCAGATTCGTGGGGGCGCTTGGTGCCCGCAGGGCGCAGAGACGCGACTGTCTGCCACGATGTAATGCGGTCACGATCAACCTCGTCCAGAGGGCGCAAGCTGCGCTCCGCGGCGAGCCGCTGCTTGTCCGGCAGGCAACGGAGAATGACTTTGGCGGCACTCTTGGCAGCGCCCAAGATAATAGGATGCCCAAAGCGCAAGATGACCAAAAGGCCGTGCTGGTCAATGACCAGTTGAACCCAGGTCACCGCGCAGTTCTTGCGCTTCATGGCGGCTTGCATCTTCTCGGCGGCCTCGGTGCTCCATGCCTCTGAGAAGCGGGCAATCTCATCAAAGGCAGGGCGCGGTGTAAAGATATCTGCAATGAATGTGTCCATCTCACCATCCGCAAGGCTAACAATAGGCTGCTTACGGAGGTACTCCATCAGTGCAGGAACCTTAAACTTACGCTGGGTTTGGCAAAGAAGAGGCTTGAGATATATTTAAAGAGGCCACCGCCAGAAATAGTAATAATTTACCGAAGAATACTATTATTTCCGGCGGCCTCGTGTACTAGTGTATATAGGCTGCTAGTCTAAGCATGCGCGCGTGATTTTTTCTCCACGCATGGAACCTTAAACTTAGAGATATATGAAGCCACCGCCGGAAATAGTAATAATTTACCGAAGAATACTATTATTTCCGGCGGCCTCGTGTACTAGTGTATATAGGCTGCTAGTCTAAGCATGCGCGCGTGATTTTTTCTCCACGCATGGAACCTTAAACTTAGAGATATATGAAGCCACCGCCGGAAATAGTAATAATTTACCGAAGAATACTATTATTTCCGGCGGCCTCGTGTACTAGTGTATATAGGCTGCTAGTCTAAGCATGCGCGCGTGATTTTTTCTCCACGCATGGAACCTTAAACTTAGAGATATATGAAGCCACCGCCGGAAATAGTAATAATTTACAGAAGAATACTATTATTTCCGGCGGCCTCGCGTACTAGTGTATATAGGCTGCTAGTCTAAGCATGCGCGCATGATTTTTCTCCACGCATGGAACCTTAAACTTAGAGATATATCAAGCCACCGCCAGAAATAGTAATAATTTACCGAAGAATACTATTATTTCCGGCGGCCTCGCGTACTAGGGGTATAGGGTGCAAGCAATATGAACAGCCTTCTAATACACAGTCCTGGAGGTGCTGAAATGGTCGATGTGATTTCGGTCGAACAAACATTGCAGCAGTTGCGTTCACCCAGCGGCCCTGGCGGATAATTCTGGGAGATGTCTGGCGGCTCGGCTGCGGGTGTCCGGCCGCACCACAGCCTACACTCCCTCACTACACCGCGTCGATGCATCACATCGCGTAGCGAAGGCGAGAATCCATGAGCACATAGCACGCACACGAACTATAAGAAGCGGTCTTCGCAGTTGCGGTCTTCGCGACTAGGCCCTTCGCAGGGAGAGGGGCATGGCTCTTCGCAGTAGCGGTCTATAGATCGCTGCACGTTTTTTCGTCGCAAGATGCTGATGGCGGCCACCTGTCTGATCGTGCACCCGTACAGCTTTGTACGCCTGGGCGTATCTACATCTTGCACACTCACACGCCACTGCTGGCTGGCACCTGCGCCCGCCTTGGACTTCGGCTCCGCTGGCGAGTCCCGCGCGAAGCCCCATCGGCCGCGACGGGCGCTGGGGCAGCGCTCCTCAGCACCTTGGCGACGCCCTGGGCCAGCGCAAACGCAAAATTGCATGGGACTGCGTTCCCGATCTGCGTGTAGGCCGCGTTGGTGCCCCCTTTGAAGACATAGTCGTGGGGAAATATCTGAAGACGAGCGGCCTCCGTGACTGTCAGCCTCCTCATCGACTCTGGCGCGACCCAAGCAACCGCGTATGCATCCAAGAGCGTGGCGCGGCTCGCCCAGACGCCCTCGAGGCGGCGCTTTGTCTGAAGGCCGCTGTCGTAGGCATCGGCCTTCTCGCGCTCGGCGACGAGGCCGTAGGTGCGACCGGCGGCACCCACACCCAGCTTGCCCTTGATCTCCTTGCGGTGGGCGCGCGGATTCGCGGCGCGCGTCAGGGCGCTGTTCAGCTCAGGAGTCAGCTCCCTCACACCCAGCTTGCCCTTGATCTCTTTGCGGTGGGCGCGCGGATTCGCCGCGCGCGTCAGGACGCTGTTCAGCTCAGGAGTCAGCTCCTGCGCCACTCGCTCGTTGCATTCCACGAGCGCCGCATGCAAGTTCTCGACGGAGCCCCCCCGCCCGCCGGAGAACTGCTCCTCATCAATGACTGGCGTCGCGTTCCCCCCCCCCATGGCCGCCAGCAGCGTCGGGGAAGGCCTGGTGGGAGCGAGGGGGCGGCCGCTCCCATTGAAGAGCATGCCAGAGTACGCGCTCTCCCGGAGCACAGGGCTTTTGCAAACCTCGATCTTCGCAGTGCACGTTGCCGGGTTGGACGGCGTGCCTGCCCTGCCAATGTCCCGGAGAGCCTCTCCGCACGTCTGCCCTCGGCGGCTGATCGCAGCCAGCCCCTGAAAATACTGTGTGGGCGTCGCGGTGTGGAGAAACCCAACCAGGATCAGCCGCTCTCTCGACTGGGGGGCGTCGAAGTTGTGGGTGTTAAGCACCTTGTGCTGGCAGGCGTACCCCAGGCCCTTCGCGCGTTCGATTAACTTGTCCAGAATGGGCTTGAAGAGAGCCTTGGTGCCCAAGTTCTCCACGTTCTCCATGAGGAAGCTGCGCGGCCGCAGCTTGTCGACCGCGTCCATGAAGACGTTAACCAGCGCGTTCCTGGGGTCATCTAGCCGCATCTTCCCTTTTTTCGAATAGCCCTGGCAGGGGGGGGGGGGGGCCTCCGAAAAGGCAATCTACGGCCCTGGCAGCTCTCGGCGCAGCTCGTCGAAGTCAACTGTCCGCAGATCCAATCGCCTGGATACCACCGCCTCTGCATTGTGGTTGTAGGTGTCGCAAGCGGCTTGGCTTGCATCCGCCGCCCACAGCACCTTGAAGCCCGCCCTCGTGAAGCCGACGTCCATTCCGCCAGCCCTTGAAAAAAGCGACACCGCCGTCAGCTGCTCCTTCGCCCCTTCGATCGCCGCCCTGAGCGTGGCCCTCTCCTCCTTCCACTGCGACTGGGCTCGAAGGATCAGCTGCTGAAGAGCTGCGGCGTCCGATTCGCCTTCGAGTTCATCCCGCGAAGGCTCGGGGAAGTCTGCAGTAGTTGGCGCCTGGCCGCCCATACTCTCGAGCTCCGCCAACAGGCTTGCTCTCCTGCTGCGGATCACGCTCATCACTTTCGAAAGCAGAGCACGGAGCTGAGCAGGCGTAAGAGACTCCATGAAGCAGAAGCAGCGCGCTAGCAGCGGAAAACACGCAAAGCGGGGCTTGAAACTTGAGCCAGTGGCTGCGGTCGGACGCGCGCGGATCGCAGGTGTAGGCGTGCACATGGTGTGCTGCTTTGTCTGCGCGAGGCGCGCGCATAATCTATGCCTGCTATGCCGCTGGCCCTAATGATCCACTGCGGGCGCTCGCGTCATCTTTACTTGCTTCGTTTACGAATGCATCCTATGCATCCGCTGTCTGCATGGGGGGACCGCGTGGCGCCATTATCCCTATGTGTGGGGCCAGTTGCATGTTGGGCGCACATGGGCCACTGAACACGCGCGCAATTTTTAACCGCCCATGCGATATCTAACTGTAACTGTACGAGGGGCTTGCCTTCACTGTTCTGCTATTTTCTCTGTTCGCATGTCGAGATCGACCCCCAATCCAGGCAGCTCCATCTGATCCTGCTCGTCTCCACCAAGGCTGTCAAGAATCGGGTTGACTTGCACGGTGGACGCGCGGCGACTGTGATGAAATTCCCATAGTTTGCGGTTGTGATCGACCCCGTTCACCACAACAGGACCGTTGCCGAGATTGAGTGGCGTGCGACCTCCTGAACAACTCACGGGGGAGCAACCTGAGCTTGTGGAGCCATCATTGGTGGAATCTTCGTCGCTTGCTGTAAACCGCTTTGCTGTCTGTTCCACATGTTCGTCACCGCACATCTTCTGGTTGACGACCACAGTATTCTTGGCGCACCACTCCTTGCCAAGGAGAGACGGGTGCATTCGGCGAAGTAGTAAAGAGGCTGCTCTGTGACGCACAGGCAATACAGCGTGATTTATATGGTTCGCGGCAAAACCATACATTATGGTGACGGCGCCACGAGGCATGTTCACTGTGTAGTGATGCTCCTGCTTCTTCATTCCACGACCTTTCACGCCGAAGGTGAACGGCTTTGCGGCGAAAAGGCCTATCGCAAGAATGGGCCGTATGAAGAGGTGTGGGGAGTCAAAGTATTGGCCAAGCTTGCCGCCGCGCTTGTGGTAGACATTCAGAATTGCAGAGGTGGCCCACGCATTCTCAAGAACGCCGACGTCAACCAACATGGATGCGAGACACTGCTGACGCGGATGGTAAATCCAATCTGGGATGTGGTTGCAATTCTCGGTGTGCAAACATTGCGCGCCTTTGCACTTCGGGCACACTTGGCCGGGAGGCAGCGGCTGCTCGTCACAGTCTCCACGCTTTGGCGTTTGCCCAGGACCGTATGTGTACTCTGGGAAGAAATACTTGCTGCGGGCCCTCTTGTTTGCAGGTGCTCCAGGTGGGCTTATATCCAATGTGTCTGGCAACCACCGCTCATCGTGAGCGATCATGTTATCAGCATGAGCTTCAAAGGCGCGCAGCTCGTCTTCTTTGAAGATGCCAACGTACTGCTTCACTCCAAATTCGTCGCCGCACTTATACCCAGCAGGACAGTTACCCTCCGTGATGACGTGTGTGGTTTCTGTGAATTTGCGGCCGCCCCTCTCGATGAGTCGCTGCCGTGGCTCGCACTTCAAGGCCTTCTCTGGTTCCTTCGCCGAAGTCTCCACCACCGCACCCACAATGCTTGCTGGAACAGAAGGTTCTGGCTGCTCCTTTGGGGAAGCATTGCTGGCCGTCTCGTGAAAGGCAGACGTAGTTGCAGCGTCAACTGATGGGTCAGTTGCCTTCGCAGCGATCTCCATGACGGTGTGAGGCTCTTCTGGTACTGGCGCATCGTCTACGCGAGCATCGCTATCAGCGGCCAGGCCTGCGGCTGTTGAGCTTCGAGTGTCAGTTGCTTCCGGATCAGCTGGAGGATTCATCGCCTCGGCCAGAAGCTTTTGTAGTTCGTGTACTGGCAGCTTCTCCACCAGACACTTGGCCTTTTGCACTTTCAGACCCTTACGCATAATTTGCGCTTTCATGAGCATAGCATTCAAGGTGGAGACGCTGACGCTCGGTGCAGACAGCTCGACCATCATCTGCAACTGGTCAGGCCTGGGCTGCATGTTCTGCTGCACTTCTCTTGCCAGGGCTTCGACCTGTCCACCCAACACGTCGAAGCGCTCGTGCACGCCGTCTTCCATGCTCGCCAGCTGAACACGAGTCTCGTTGCCATCCTCCTTAAGCGCATCGGCTATAGCGGTGCAAACTGCGCGCTGCTCTTCTGGGACACTGGACTTTGGCTGTGCAGCATACTTTGCGCTTCGGCCACCAGTGCCGTCGGCACGGCATGCTTCATCGAATGCGAATGCTTCTCCAAATGTCGCGAACTCCCGCAACTTGGTGGGGTCATCAGGGGCGTAGTCGACTTCACGGAAGGCGCTGCGCCGCACCCATTTCCCTGCCGCGTTCTCCCCGTAACGTGTTTTGCAAACTCTTTCCCTCTGTACTTGGGTTGGTCGGACGGTTTTGCTAGCCTGGGGATGGCACGCAGATCGAGCGAGAACTTCACATATGCAAGTCTTGAGCAAAGCAACTAGCGGCAGTAAGATCAGTTATTCACGTGGGGCCATTGACGTGGGGCCATTGACGTGGGGCCATTGACGTGGGGCCATTGACGTGGCCATTGACGTGGCCATTGGCGTGGCCATTGACGTGGCCATTGACGTGGCCATTGACGTGGCCATTGACGTGGGGCCATTGACGTGGGGCCATTGACGTGGCCATTGACGTGGGGCTATTGACGTGGGGCCATTGACATGGGGCCATTGACGTGGGGCCATTGACGTGGCCATTGACGTGGGGCCATTGATGTGGGGCCATTGATGTGGGGCCATTGACGTGGCCATTGACGTGGGGCCATTGACGTGGCCATTGACGTGGCCATTGACGTGGCCATTGACGTGGGGCCAGCGCCTGGCAATATGCGACAAATAGCGACAAATGCTAGGGAAAGCGGTGCCTGCGTCTGGCAATATGCGACAAATAGCGACAAATGCTAGGGAAAGCGGCGCCTGCGTCTGGCAATCTGCGTCTGGCAATATGCAGCAAATAGCGACAAATGCTAGGGAAAGCGGTGCCTGCGTCTGGCAATATGCGACAAATAGCGACAAATGCTAGGGAAAGCGGTGCCTGCGTCTGGCAATATGCAACAAATAGCGACACATGCTTCTCAAAGAAGTGCCCGCGTCTGGCAATATGCAACAAATAGCGGCACATGCTTCTCAAAGCGGTGCCCGCGTCTGTTCTCCTGGACTTCTCCTGGACGTCTGCAGGGCATGGGGGTGCTCGCTAAGGTGTGGCCAGACACCTATAAGGAGTGGCTTCGGCGTGTTAGAAGTGGCCTTTGTGATTTCGGTCTGTCAAATTGTCCGCCTATGCCGCTTACCTGGCAGATACCCATAAGGAGTGGCTGCGCGGGGCTTTTCCTGGACTTCTCCTGGACATCTCCTGGACGTCTGCAGGGCATGGGGGGTGCTCGCTAAGGTGTGGCCAGACACCTATAAGGAGTGGCTTCGGCGTGTTAGAAGTGGCCTTTGCGATTTCGGTCTGTCAAACTGTCCGCATATGCCTCTTACCAGATACCCATAACGAGTGGCTGCGCGTCAGAGATGGCCCTTCCTACATCCATCTATGTCTCTATGGTTTGCCGATGGAGGCCCCCTGTTTGGCAGAGCGCCCAAGACACCGTAATTTTCTTCTTTGGGCCAGCTCGGCCCCGCCAGCCCAGCCAGCTCAGCCCACCAAGCCAAGCCGCATTTTTCAACATTACGTTTAACTTCTTCCTTGAGCCAGCGCGGCCCGTCATGGATTTTGCGCGCAATGCATGTACGGGGTGCGTTGCAGTTGGAAACACCAGTTCCACAGATTTGTCGCAAAGCGGCTAATCTTAGCTAGCGTAGTGCACGAACTGCATGAGCTAGATGCATTTCTTTTTCCACACACGCCTTCGCACATGTGGTCTGTCATCACACTCTGTCGCTACACCTACGCTCTGGCTCTGGTGGTCTCTAGCTCCGCCAATGCGGTGCCGCTCGCCCAACGGTCCGGAAGCGCACCCGTCAGCCCCACCGCAGGCAAGAGGCGCGCGAGCAAGCGCTCAAGCACGTTGACACTCATAGCGTTGCCGAGTTGCTTACGCCATTGGGCATCCGACACCACCTGCTTGAAGTCGTCTGGGCTCATGCCTTGCAATCGACAGTGCTCGCGTGCATTGAGGAGCCGACCTCTGTTGGAGATCCAGATCTTGTTGCGGGTGAGCAAACAGGGGCACGTGTCCAACTTCACGGAGCAACGTCCCACGCTGGCAGTGACTGGGAAGAGCCATGCTTGCTGCAAGGGTTCGCGCCTGTCGCGCAAAAGCTTCGCCATCGTCACAGCCCATATCTCGGACGCGAAGGTCTGAGGAGGCGGCTGCACGTTCAGCAGGGTCGGCTTCGCCTCACATGGATCCAAGAAGCGCTCCACCGACGGGCAGGCAATGGGCTCTGGCCACTGGAACCTACCCTCGATATAAAAGTCCTTGCGGATGCAGACAATATAGAGCCTATTTCGGCTTTGCGGCACGCCGTGATGGGCGGTATTCAGGACCCTCCACTGGATGTTATAGCAATCCAATCGCAGCAGCTCGTGTAGAACCTCGCAAATGTCTTCGCCGTCGCGATTGTGAAGCAGACTTCGCACGTTCTCCAGGACTGCGACACGAGGCTTGTGGGTTCTCATGTAATCCACGACACTATAGAACACCTGGCCACGTGGGTCATCGAAGCCTCTCTTGTTGCCTTCTGAGCTGTGCGGCTGGCAGGGAATTCCTGCCATGTACAGGTCGCAGCCGGGCGCCTGCGAGTGGTCGCGCTTGGTGATGTCCCCATCAACTTCGCCCCTGTAGAATTTGACAGGGCGGAAATTGGCTTCGATGGTCTGGCAGGCGAACTCGTCAAGGTCGCTCGCGAAGGCCTCTGTGAAGTCCACGCGCAAGTTCCGCAACGCTTGGCAAGGCGCATTCGTGCCTGCGCAATCATGTCCCTCGCGGAGAGGACGCCGGGGAGGCTCGGGCGCCACAGCATCAGAATGGTAGAAGAGCTCTGCGGCGCCACCTATATTGCGAAAGAGCACGATGAAATACCTGATGGCGGTTGGCGGCTGATGAGGCAACACCCAATGCGCGTGCCGGCCGTCTACCTTCTGCCATTGATCTTTCGTTGATATGCTGAAGCATTGGTCCCTCTCCTGCCAGCAGAACTCGCCTGCTGTGAATTCGCCCAGGGACAGACACCATTGGTGGTCCTTGTCCGTGCGGCGGTGGTGGTGGGGGCGCAGCGCCCGGAAATTCCTATTGAGTTGAGCGCTGCTGAATTCGAAGCCGAGCGCCCGGCCTTCATCCCGAAGCAATTCCCAAAGTTTGGCACACTGCTCTTGATCGTTCTTTGACAAGCATCCAGGCACAACTTGGTCATTGTAGCCTTTCTGGTCGAAGCCATCGGCGCCTGGGGCACCGCGTGACGCCCAGTGTGATGCTTCCTCCGCAAAATGTCGTGGTCTTGACGTTCCCTTTCTTCCAGCTCAACTTCTGAAGGCAATCCCAAATCTCGCGGCGGTTCTTCACAGGCTTGCCAAGCAGTTGCACTGGCGTGGGCACAGGCAGCCCAGCACTGCCACCGGTCTGGGCGCCTTTGGCCAGCTTCCTCTTCTTGCTCGCCCGAGTCTCCAGAGTTGCCTCCTCAAGCTGGAACCGGGCCAACTCCTTTGCCTTCGTCTCTTCCAATCGCGCCTTCCGAGCTTTCTCCTTCTTTTTGTTTCGCCTGGCTTGCCTATCTCCCGGACGATCATCATAATTCATAGTGCACTCTAAGGATTCGCTGTTGAGTGCGCCGCATTTCACGACGAAGTCTTTCACAATTTGCGAGGACCTCTCCGCGAGGATACGAGTCGAGATTACGTGCCCCTTTTTCAGAAAGAACCCGCGCTCGGGCTCTTTCCCTTGATGCTTTTCGTACGCACTCTTGACGCCATCGTGGAGAATCGCGCCGAAGTTGGTCTTTATTTCGAACCGCTTGGCGTTCTTGCCTGCGAAGCCTCTGCCCTGGTTGGGCGGTTTGATGATAAGTGTGAACTCGCGCTGCATCTCATCCTCCATTTCTCGTTTCACGCGTCGGCGTTCCGCTGCCCTCTTCTCAGTCTCGCCGTCACCCGCCCGGGATGATGGCCACTACAAATTCCAAGTGCAAAAGAAGCTCGGAGCCAAAATTCCACAGAAGAATGTCACTGAGCAAAGGCTGCGTGGCGAGCGTGTGCGAGTGATTTGGAGCACGCGGGGGGAGACGGGCACATGTATGCGCAGCTACGGAGCGGTGCAAACAAGATCCAAATGCACGCATGGAGTCAACAAGGCGTCAGGTGGGAATGAGCAGACAAGCGCTTGCTTGCTTTTTTCTGGCGCGCGAAATATTCATCTCTCACATGGCTAGCCTCTCGGAACAAATGCGTGGGCTACTCACTCGCAAACGGAGGCACGTCGCGCAAGGATCGTTGCCACTGCCAACCATAGCTCCTTGTAGCCCGGAAAGGGGTCGCCTCGAGCCGTCCCTCCCTCCGGCAAACACATCTTCCGCCACTCGCACAGCATGTGCTCGACGCACTGGGCGCACGTGGGCAGCAAGTGACGGCGGGCTAGGCGCTCGACTACCCCGTGCTGGTCCACAGCGGCCAAAGCGGCGGGAAGAGCCTCAAGCAAGGCCAGGAAGAGCTTGTCCACGCCAGCTTTGAAGGGAGATGTGCCGACCATGGCGCGCGCCTGCTCAGCTGGACGACCCAGCAGCAGCCAGAGGCCCAGTTCGGCAAAATCTCCAATGTCGCGTCGCTCCATGTCGTACAGCGCCGGGTCGGCAATGGAGAGGAGCCGCGCCACGAGCAGTGCCCGGAACTTTGGGATCCCTAGCTGCTGCAGCACCATGATGGCATCGGCGCCGTGCTGGATCTTAGCTAGCCCTGCTGGGATCTTGGCCGCCAGCTCATGAACGAAGCGGCCACAGTTCTCGATCTCGGGGCCATTGCCCAAAAGGCTGAGCACCCCCTGCTTGAGGTGCGGGGGGACCACGCCTCTGCACCCTGGAAACTGCTTGCGGAAGCGAGAGGCAAACTCCTCGGGCGACTGTGGCGCATCCACCCTAAAGGGGCCCAGCGCCTCGAGGCGACGCCAACTGGGCAGTACCGTCTGGCCAATGATGAGATTGTAAAAGGCGTCCGGCGTGATCTCACCGCCAGGCAACCACGCCTGCACAAGCTTGAGCGTGGTGGTGTCTGTGAGGAAGGCGACGGAGCAGTGTGTGGTGCTCTCATAGGCATCGGCCATGTCAGGCTGCACGTTTCGCAACGCTGCCAAGTAATGTTGGTAGACTTCTCCCGGCAGCTCGCCCATGCGGACGAGAACGTCCGTAGCAAAGACCAGGTAGACCGCAACGAACTCTGGCAGTCGAGCGAACAGCGGCTTGCCATCGGGGCCGAGTGGCCCAGATGCGGCAGCGGGAAGCTGCGAGGTGGCGGGCGACGAAGCAAAAGCTGCATCGTCGTCATCATCGCCGTCCTCTTCTCCAGATGTACTCATGGTATCCTCCACATATGCACTGCTTGCCGTCGTCGGTGTGAGATCCGATTCTGAGGCTGTGACGTCCTGCAGCTCTAGTCGCCGCCTTTTCCCCTGAGCCACAATTGCTTCCAGATCGTCTTCATGTGCAGCCACCGCTGCTGGAGCAATCACTGGCTCGTCGATGCGCACGAAGAACATCCTCTTCTTCAGCGGCTCATTGTCGTCATCCGTGTGGCCGTCGACAGCATGAAGCCAAGCTTCTGGCGTATCATTGATGCAGAGTATTTTCGGCTGCAGCGGGTGGAAGCATACACAGGAGTTGCGGACGCGGCACTGCCCGCCGTCCCGAATCTCCAAGAGCTGCTTCAAATAGTTGGCGCTCATCTTTCGGCCCGGCTGGCTGACGTCTGCAGCAGACAGCCCCTCCAGGATCACAGGCACGCACTTGGCGAAATATTCCTGAGCGGGTTTCAGCGCATCTGGACTGGAGGCTTTTTAGTAGTGGCCGACGTCGTAGTTTTCGGCCAAATAATTCGCTATCCCAGCAGCCATGGGAGTCCTCTGTTGCCCGCCACCGCCCCAGAGGACCAATGCTTTCTCGAAGTGCAGCCGAGTGTTGAAGTAGTCGGCAAAGGGAAGCTTCACGTCCTTGCGCATGATGGGGTCCCACGTCTTACCCCTCTTGCGCGGGAGCCCAGGAAAATCACGCGGGTAGACGAGCTTGCTGCCCGTGGCGCCCACGTGGTACACGATGTCGCTTGTCAGCTGGCGCTTGAGTGCGCGCTTCTCCTCGGCGCGTCTCATGGCGTTGATCTCGCCCTTGCCAGCCAGGAGCGCTTTGGGGTCCTGTGCTCTCTGCGCGGGCGACTGCAGCCTCGCACGCCAGAAATCGAAGTGCAAGTCTTGCTGGGGTCTGTCGTGCAATTCATGCCAAAGCTCCTTGACATCGACTGACTGAAATTGGAAGTAATCTGCTGGAAGTCTGCGAACCAGTCATGAGCGAACTGCGCAATAGCCCGCGCGCCGGCCTGGCCTCGACCGGGCTTCAGCAGCTCGTACACAGCTGCAGGGCGGATCTCTTCGGGGAGTGTAGCGAACTCCAGCTTCGCTTGATCGGGTTTGTAAATGAGAACATGCAAGGCACACCGGTCCACTGCCCGCCTCACGCTGAGACGGCGCTCTCCCTTGTTGAGCAGTGGCCACAGAAGATCGAAGACAGCCTCCGTCGATTTGTCCGTTTCGATGAAGCCCACAAGCCAGCGCATCTGCTTACCCATGCACAGGCTCTCCAATGGTTCAGAGAGGCTGCGCGCAGGCACATCACGAATGCCCGCGCCCTCTTCTGCATCAACAGTTTCCTTCTCTGTCGCTTTAAAAGACGTTTCCATGGCTGTCGTGCTAGCAAAGAAGCAGGGTGAGCTGCAAAGCTTCAAGCTAGTGGCTGACATGCATCCCATGTTTGACCCTGTAACCCTGCCAAGACGGCTCGCTGTCACCGACAATTCGTGGTTGCAAAATGCTGCGACTATCACACTCGCATGAGAAGCGTGAACGCAGCTGGTATTACAAAGCCCCACCGCGCGGCCTACGCAAAGCGAATGCATGCAAGCACGCGCGGCCTAGATCAATTGCCGATTGCATACAAGCAAGGCCCCACTGCGCGGGCTGGAGCAAATGCATGCAAGCAGATGGCATTAGTCAAGGTCCCACCGCACGGCCTACGCAAAGCAAGTGCATGCAAGCAGGTGGTATTGCCCACCGCGCGGCCTACGCAGAGCAAGTACATGTAAGCAGGTGGTGTGAGTCAAGGCCCCACTGCGCGGCCTACGCAAAGCAACGCATGCACTGGTTGGTGTCTGGTTGGTGTCTGGTTGCTGTCCGGTTGGTGTCCGGCTGGTGTCCGGCTGGTGTCCGGCTGGTTTTCGGCTGGTGCGCAATTGCTGTCAGCCTGGTGTCCGTTCTGTTGGTGGGCTGTTCCCGGCCGCTCCTCGGTTGCTCTCGGCTGCTCCTGGATCCCGGCTGCTCCCGCCACTCGCCCTCACTTATTTGCCCGGGCTGATCGGGTATGAGGTGTCGCGGCTGTAATCCGGCTGCTCTCGGCTGCTCCTGGCTCCCGGCTGCTCCCGCCGCCCGCCCTCACTCATCTGACGCCTCCCGGGTTGCGCCCAGCTGCTGGGGTGACTTCGGTCTGTTAGTGTTTATTGCCTCCGGCTGCTCCCGACTGCTCCCGGCTGCTCCCGCCGCTCGCCCTCACTTATTTGACCGGGCTGATCGGGGAGGGGTGTCGTGAGCAGCGGCTGTAATCCGGCTGCTCTCGGCTGCTCCCGGATCCCGGCTGCTCCCGCCACTCGCCCTCACTTATTTGACCGGGCTGATCGGGTAGGGGTGTCGTGAGCAGCGGCTGTAATCCGGCTGCTCTCGGCTGCTCCCGGATCCCGGCTGCTCCCGCCACTCACCCTCACTTATTTGCCCGGGCTGATCGGGTAGGGGTGTCGTGAGCAGCGGCTGTAATCCGCCCGCTCTCGGCTGCTCCTGGATCCCGGCTGCTCCCGCCACTCGCCCTCCAGGGCTGGATCTGAGGCCCCAGGGCTGGATCTGAGGCTCCAGGGCTGGATTTGAAGCTCCAGGGCTGGATCTGAGGCTCCAGGGCTGGATTTGAAGCTCCAGGGCTGGATCTGGGGCTCCAGGGCTGGATCTGAAGCTCAAGGGCTGGATTTGAAGCTCCAGGGCTGGATCTGAAGCTCCAGATGGATCTGAGGCTCCAGGGCTGGATTTGAAGCTCCGGGGCTGGATCTGAGGCTCCAGGGCTGGATCTGAGGCTCCAGGGCTGGATCTGAGGCTCCAGGGCTGGATCTGAAGCTCCAGGGCTGGATTTGAAGCTCCAGGGCTGGATCTGAGGCTCCAGGGCTGGATTTGATGCTCCGGAGCTGGATCTGAGGCTCCAGGGCTGGATTTGAAGCTCCAGGACTGGATCTGAGGCTCCAGGGCTGGATCTGACGCTCCAGGGCTGGGTTTGAAGCTCCAGGGCTGGATCTGAGGCTCCAGGGCTGGATTTGAGGCTCCAGGGCTGGATCTGAGGCTCCAGGGCTGGATTTGTGGCTCCAGGGCTGGATCTGAGGCTCCAGAACTGGATCTGAGGCTCCAGGGCTGGACCCATAGGCGGACAACGTGATTTCGGTCTGTCAGCTTCCCGCGGGTGGCCGGGGAGGCCAGGAATACCGGGGCTGGATCTGACGCTCCAGGGCTGGATCTGAGGCTCCAGGGCTGGATCTGAGGCCCCAGGGCTGGATTTAAAGCTCCAGGGCCGGATCTGAGGCTCCAGGAATGGATCTGAGGCTCCAGGGTTGGATTTGAGGCTCCAGGGCTGGATCTGAGGCTCCAGGGCTGGATATGAAGCTCCAGGGCTTGATCTGAGGCTCCAGGGCTGGATTTGAGGCTCCAGGGCTGGATTTGAGGCTCCAGGGCTGGATTCGAGGCTCCAGGGCTGGATCTGAGGCTCCAGGGCTGGATCTGAGGCTCCAGGGCTGGATCTGGGGCTC